CTCTCTCTCTCTCTGTGTGTGTGTGTGTGTGTGTGTGTGTGTGTGTGTGCGTGTGTGTGTGTGTGTGTGTGTGCGTGTGTGTGTGTGTGTGCCTATTCGGAACTCTTTTTGACAACAGACATAGTTGGCTCTACGACCAAACATAAGCACGAACAAATACACGGGTGCAGTTCAACACATCGTCAAGCCCGAGGAGACAGAGTCAGTTTCACGCTATCTCCACAAATCCCCCAAAAATGCTGCATGGGCCCTGATGGAGGCGGCAGCGGCGCTCGGCCAAGCATTCTAGAGCGGATGCCTGAAGCAGCTGGCGCCAGGGCGAGGGGGCTTTGCCCGAGGCTATGGCCACCATACCTAGCCTGTCCCTGACGGCCGACGGCGGACGGCGGCTGCATCCATGCGTTGTGGTCGCGGAGTCTAGTCGGTGTGGCCTTTTGTCTTCTGTGCTGAGGTGGGTGCGGAGCGTCGCAGGGGTGTGATGGGTTATTTCGCTTTGGTCTGCCTCCTCTTAAACCCGTACAGAGCCAAGATCAGGGCGCTTGTGTGCGGCTGATGGGCCTCGCTCCACTACTCTTGACATGCACAAAAGACAAAAATCATGGCTGTGTATCTTTCCATGTTCTAGCAGAAGATTCACTCTCGTTTTGCGCATGTCAAGAGCGAGGCCCGATCTCAGACATGGAGACAAGATGGAGACTGATTGGACGGTACTTCGCGCGTTGTCATTTTAGGCATCTCAGTGATGTCATCATGCTCGTTCATCTAGTGTGTTTCATACACGAAACCTTGGAGATTTACTTTGTGTGCTGCTGTTATAGGCTTTTCGGTGAGGTTGTCATGCTCGTTGCTCCTCACCATAGACGGCCAAAAAGTTGTGCCCAGCCTGCACAAATTGTTTCGTGGACGGTCCTCGTAGGAACTCACGGACCCTCCGCCTTTTTGGACAGCGAGCCTGGAATCTGGGCAGACAAAATGCGATAGCGGCCGTGTCTTGCAGTGCTGTGACGGTGTCGCATAGTGAGCTCGCGAATTGGGGAGTTGTATAGTTTACAGTTAGTGGAGTGATGCCCCATTCCAAAGGTTTTCTACGATACTGAGAGTTGTACACCAACTATACAAATTTTTGTAGACCGGACAGTAGTGGAGCGAGGACCATAATGGAGTGATGAAGCCGCCAGGTTTAGGAGCTTGGCAATTGGATGAATGGTGTTGCGCTTTTGTGTGATGTTCATAGCTCCTCGCCATGTCATTTTGCTAAGGTGGTTCCTGCGGGGCATTGGCTTTTTTTCTGCTTGCCGAAATGACTATGTATTATGTACATCAATTCTTCGTGTTGGTTCGTTATTGTGGCCACGATATAGCATTCATGAGTAGTGAAGACTTGAGATAAGGTACTGCCTCATGCTGCATTCGGGTGGCTTCGCTTTTGGTTCTTCTTACGGCCCATGCATTTTTCGATTTGGGGAGATAGCGTGAAACGGACTCTGTCTGTCTCCTCTGGCTTGATGATGTGTTGAACTGCACGCGTGTATTTGTTTGTGCTTCAGCTCGCTCTCTTGCTTTTAGCTCCCTCGCTCATTGGAGGGGTTCGCCTGCTCTTTATCTGGAAAGGGAGTAGATGGGACTCGGATGAGATAGTGTGTTTTTTTTTTCTCCCGAAAACACGAAAAAAAAATTGGACTTTTCTTGATTTATGTGTGTCATCCTTGCACAGGGGCCATGGTAAGGGTCCCCTGTATAAGCCTTAGGAGTAGTGGTAGGTAGGTAGTGAAGGTGGATTGAAAGAATTTGAAAGATGATGAGAGATTTGAGGGAGTAATATAGCGTAGTTTAAAATAATGATAAAAATTATATATTAAAAAAAAAAGCATTGTATCGTTCCAATTTTAACGGATCAACTTCCAATACATCTCCGGCTGCTCCACCTGCATTGCAGGATCTGTTACGTACCAAGTGCCCGGTGGGTCAATCCCCTCTGGACTGAGGATATTCCTCCATTCAACTGGGATAGCCCTGATTACTCCCCCGCCTTATCTTCCACATTGTGTAAGATGCCCAGGTCTTCTCGAAGTTGGGACATGGATTTCCATCACCCTGTCAGTGTATTCCACAAGTCGCGAACGTACAGGTAGCCACGTTGGATCTTGTTGTCTCCAAAACTGCCAGGTTCTTTGTTGGCCTTTAATCTTTGGCGTTCAATGTTCAAAATCCTAGGATTGTCAAAGATGGGTTGATTAAGCACTTCCTCCTTGGTGATTGGTTTGACCCTCTTCCAGGCGTAGATGATATCCGCCCGAAATCTCGACTGAATCCTACGATTTAAGGAATCCATCTGCAGGCAGGTCCAGACACCTCTTGGCCTCTTCAAGTTCCATTCAGTGGACAGTATGTGCTCTGCTGGCAGTATCTAGTGATCGTTCTCTTTACTATTAATGGCTTTCGGTATCCACTTGGCAAGGAGAAGGTAGTTTCTCTCTCCTGGATCCATTAATCCCAGTCCTTCGTCTTCCCTTGGGCACGCAATTGATTCTCAGGCCACCTTGGAAACGAACCCATCTCCCTTTCCTGCCCTTGGCTTCCAAATGAAGCGGGCTGCCAATCCTTGAACGAAGGAGACCAAGGACTTGCGCAACAACCTGTTGTCTAAAGCAACCATCAACCCTAGGAACCACTCCGCTTTGCCCTCATCTATTCTCTTCATTCCCCAGTCCACAACAAAGGGCATGGATTGTAGAAGAAAAGAGACTGATTTTTTCCAATTTACAGCCACCTCTGAGAAAAGAGAACATTCATCTAACAACTCCTTCAAGGCATTCAGCGTTGTGTCTGAGTTCTCACAGATGGCAAATAAGTCATCTGCCAGAGCTTCAACTTTACACTCTGACTTGGACGTTGCAAACCCTACAATCTTTGGACGACATCTAATATTGCAAAGAATCACCTCCGGCCGTATTACGAAGACCGGAGGGGCGAGCGGGCAGCCTTGTCTGAGAGACCGAGTCAGGCTGAATTGTTCCGACAGAAATCCATTGACCATGACAACGGCGATAGAGTGTGTATACAGCGTTGTAATCCAACAATAGAAGTTCTCCCCAAACCCCATAGGATGTAAGGTTGTGAGCACAAACGCCCAATCACCCTATCATATGCTTTCTCAAGGTCCAAAAGCAGTACCGCCAACGGTCTTTGTTCCTTATCTATAATTTCCAACGCCTCCACCGTTGTCACTATGTTATCAAAAATAGATCTTCCGCAGACAAACGCATCTTGATCACTAGCTACTAACTCCGGTAAGTATCGTGCCAGGCGTTTTGGCCAAAACTTTATACGAGACGTTCAATATGGAAATGGGGCGCCAATTACGTACGTCGTCCTTCCAACCCTTCTTGTAGAGCAATGTGATGATGTTGTGGCGCATGCTAGGAGTAAGATTGCCACCGTTGAGAATACTATTATAGAATTCAATCAACGGATCCTTCAATTCTGTCCAAAACATCTCATAGTATTCCACCGTCAGCCCTTCTGATCCTGGGCCCTTACCCTTGGCCATCGATTTTAGCGCCTGTTTTACTTCCAACTTTGTTACCGGCTTATCCA